GACAAGGACGGCTAAGTCAAGGCAAGTATGGATAAATGTCAGCCAGGTTTACCTGCCAGGTAAAGTGCCATGTCCGAAACCTCTCCGATCGCCATAAAGTCCAAAAAAATCCTCGCTTCGGCCTGGGGCAGCCTGACCGAGTATGTTTTGGGTGTCAAACGGGCCGACGGCGCGCCCGTTCAATTGGTCCGCGAGATCTATGACCACGGCAGCGCGGCGGCGATTCTGCTGCTCGACAGCGAGCGCAGGGTCATGACGCTGGTGCGCCAGTTCCGGCTGCCGCCCCACCTCAATGGCGAGGACGGCAACATGATCGAAGTGTGCGCCGGGCTGCTCGACGCGGATGACCCCGAGACCTGCGCGAAAAAGGAAGCGCTCGAGGAGACCGGGATCGTGCCCTCGAGCCTGCGACCTGCTTTCGAGATTTACGCCAGCCCCGGCTCGCTGAGCGAGAAAATCCACTGCTTTGTCGGCTTTTACGACGCGGCATGCCGGCGTGGACCCGGCGGCGGACTGGCCGAGGAAGGCGAAGAGATCGAGCTGGTCGAGATCGGCTTCGATGCGGCGCTGGACATGATCGACAATGGGCATATCGTCGACGCCAAGACCGTCGCGCTGATCCAGCACGCAGCGCTCAAGGGGTTGCTGTCCACGTCCTAGCCGTGGAGCCTCAAGAGGTTGTTTCGGGTCAGGTTGAGTCGACTGATCGGTGTTTGCGACTTTGGGCTGCCGTGCTGTCTGCGCCAATTGTAGCGATGGAGCCATATGGGCAATTGCCCTGCCCTGTGGTTTGGCGTTGGATAGGCGATGGAATTGGCCATTCGCGCAAGGTGGTCTGGACGGATTTGATCTGGCGTCTACATTTCGGTCTGAGCGCCTTCCGCGGCTGCCTTGACGGGATTTACCGGCGGTTCTTCGCGCGGCGCGTATTTGTTGAGCAGGGGCAACTGGCTCATGGCGAAAGCCATGGTCAGCGGCATGATACCCCAGACCTTGAAGGCCACCCAGAAATCGTCGGAAAAATTGCGCCAGACGATCTCGTTGAGCGCGGCGAGGACGAAAAAGAAGATGCCCCAGCGCAGGGTCATGAGATACCAGCCGCGGTCCTGGAGCTTATAGACTTCCCCGAAAACGTAGCGCAGCAGCGATTGGCCGAATGCCAACCCCCCAAGCAGCACCGAACCGAACAGCACATTGGTGATTGTGGGCTTGAGCTTGATGAACAGCGCGTCCTGAAAATAGAGCGTCATCCCGCCGAAAACCAGCACCACGACGCCGGTGACCAG